TTAAACTATTTATTAAAGCTATAACTTGAAACTGAAATATAAATCAAATTTAATTATATATAATATTAAGTAAATTATAACTTAATTTATTATAAAATAATTATAAAAATATCTTTATTAATAATAAATAAATAAAAATATATTTATTTAATTAAACTAATTTGATTTTAAATTAAATTTAAGTTAAATAAAATTTAATATAAAATATAAAATATATATAAAAATTCTTATTATAAAAGGTCTAAATTTAATTTTAATTATTTAAAAATAATTATATAATATTTAAATATTTCAATAAATAATTGTTAATTTTTTATATATTAATAACTTTTAATTCTTATTTTTTAATTTTTTTATTATAATATGTAAATTTTTACTTTAACATTTAATTTCTTTACAATTACTAATCCAATTTTGCTAAAATTTGAAATATATATTTTATTATATATTCAATAATATACTTGCTTAGTCTAAACTCACAAATTATAAATTTATAATAATAATATAAAGATTATTTTTATATTCATTTATTATTAAATTAAAGTAGAAATAAGTTAAAACTAATATAAAAAGAATATATTTTATTTAATTTGAAAATTTATAAGTATTAGTTATATTTTACAAAGTTTTTATTAGAAGTAATTATTATTTTTATATATTAATATTTTTATATTGAATAATTTTAAATGATCCAATATCTATACTCTTATCTTTAAATATTATTATTGTTGGATTTTTTAGATAGAGCAATATACTAGCTCATAACAATAAGAGAAATTAACTGAAAGTGCCGAATATCTTAAAAACTTGGTAATTATAAATAATTACAATTACTATATAAACAACTTAATATATACATGTATTATTTTTTTTATAATTTCAGCATTCACAGCCTGTCACATTTATTAAATTACATGCACAATTCTGGTGAAAAGTAATGGCGGGATGATCTTTAAATCGACATTAAAAATCGGAGAAATTATTTATTTTCTGAAATCTTTATTATAAACGTAAATTGATCAATTGAATAATATTACTTAATACCAAATACTTGTTTCCTGAGGTAATGTTTGGGAAATTAAAGATTATTTAAAAATATTTCTTGATATTTCAGAAAATAATATTAAGCCATTTGTCTTTAGTCTTAATTTTTTTAAAATATGAAGCTTTAATTATATATATTATTGAATAGAATTTAAAATAAAATTATTATGTAAACTAATTTTATTTTTAACCGTCATTACTTTCCGACAGAACTGTAATACCGATACATGTATCCTGATCACAAAGAAATTAGTAATGCAAGGCTAGTGCATGTACATGTACCGTTAAGTATTCTCAATGGATGTTTATTATCGTATCGTTATTAATTCTTTAAATATTAATATTCTCAATAATACGGGTGCAACATGCAATTCTTAATTAAAAAATCGGAGATTCTATCAACACTTTCAATTTCTGTCAAAGTCACTGCTGAATTTGATAGTTCAAAACTCCATGAAGAATATCATTCGACGAAAGATTTCTTTCAAAAATGAAAATTTGGAGGAGTGACTTTAAAAACAACATCAATTATCCAAACTGAGATTGATAACAACAGAAAATCAATGACATCTATTTATAAAGATGAATTGCTTGTTGATTTATGTTGTCAATATGAAAGAATTTCAACCAATGCACCAATGATTATTTATCTAATTCTAAAGATTTTATATATCAAAGAGAATCGTTTTTTAAAAATTATTCTGGTGCACTGTCAAGGATTAAAAAAAATACATTAAAAAAAGATAATGAAATACTTGCTTGGCATTTAAAATCAGCAGAGGGTGGAGATGCGGGAGGACAATCTAATCTTGGTTATTGTTATCGAAATGGTGTAGGAACTCAAAAAGATGAAAAAAAATCATTTGAGTGGTATTTAAAATCAGCAGAGGGTGGTGATGCAGAAGAAGAATTTAATCTCGGTTATTGTTATTGTGATGAGAAAAAGGCATTCGAGTGGTATTTAAATCAGCAGAGTTGGAGTTACGAGAGGACAATCTAATCTTGGGTATTGTTATCGAAAAGGAGTAGGAACTCAAAAAGATGAGAAAAAAGCATTCGAATGGTATTTAAAATCAGCACAGGGTAGTGATGCGAAAGGACAATTTAATCTTGGTTATTGCTATCTAAATGGATTCGGAACTCAAAAAATGAGAAAAAGCATTCGAGTGGTATTTAAAAACAGCAGAGGGTGGCGATGCGGAAGGACAATCTAATCTTGGTTATTGTTATGGTAAAGGTATAGGAACTCAAAAAGACGAGACAGAAGCTTTCGAGTGGCATTTAAAATTAGTAGAAGGTGGAGACACAGGAGGACAATATAGACTTGGTTGTGCCATTATTATAGCGAGGGAACATTTAGAGATTTAAATAAGGCATTTTCGTGTTTCCAGAAAATATCCGAGTTGAAAAATAACTGCGCTCCTTCTGCTCAATATTTTCTCGCAGAATGTGATTTTCAGGGAAATGGAACAAATAGAAATGAGAGGAAAGTATTTGAATGGTATGTAAGATCCGCTGAAACTGGGTGCAAGTATTCTCAATTCAAATTGGCTGAATGCTGGCTTTGGAGTTCCTCAAGATCTCGATATGGCCTAAGAAAATGGTCATGATCGAGCAGTCGAGTTGGTTGAATCGTTTGATTTCGAAAATATATATTCTTATGAAATTATTTTGTTTTTTGATTAAGTTTTGCTTAGAGAAATTCTACCAAAGGCTTTTCTATATGTACTAAGATTTTTTAACGCATCTTTATCCTTATTAAATTTACTACCAATTCTTTCAGTACATAAATGTATTGATATAAATTTCTCAACACTGCATATATATATATATGTATATATATATATATATATATATATATATATATATTTCTTTCTTTGCATTGACAAAAACAAAATTTTGGATATTTATATCGAAACTGCCTTGAATGATTGAATGATCAAATCAAAAGAAACCGAAAAGTGTAAAGAAATAAGAAATTAGCAAATTTTTTCACATTTACGCATATAGACTTCATTGCAATTAGATAAATTAAACTTTTTTCACTATTGTCATGACAGGAAATATAAAAGACCAAGTGCCTACCTATACTCCTATACTTACTTTACAATTTTATATATTCGCAAAATTAAATTTTTTTTCCTCATAAAATTCTCATTTTTTTTAAAAGAATTTTTAATACTTGTTCCTTGCTAATTAATAACTTGCGATGCCCGAGATTTTACATTCGATTTTAACATGCACATCCGAAGAATGAACAAACCCTACCCTCCAATCTCTTTATTTGTTAAGTTCGAAAGAATTTTTAATCCTTTGATAAACCTATCGTTATACGTATATGTATGATAAAAATATAATTCTTAAAATAACAAAACACAATTATTTTATGCATTCTAAAAATCCAATTTAATACTACAGTAATACATGTATGTGTTTCTTTTTTCATTACATGTAATTCATTTTGCTATTGAATACATGACCATAAAGGATCTTTTGAAATATTTCACTTGCAGAAATTTAAAATTTAATTAGTCCCATCATTTTTAGTAAACCAATCATCTCATATCACCATATGAAACTTTAGCGTAAATCTAATCACCAACTTTAAAATACTTACATGTGTCAATAAATCATTTACATGTATGTACATGTAAAAAATATCTTTCACATTATAGTACAATATACATATACATAATACATGTATCAATTAAATCAAACTGAGTGCACACTTTTTAGAGATAAGGGGAAAAAAATAATTAAAGTCTCAAAATAATATAACATCATATTCATATGATTCTTGAATATTTTCTAAAGCTACTAACGTTAATAGCGATAAGTTACATTTATGCCAAGCCAAGTTTTTTTTTTGAAGATCGATTCATTATTCTAATGTACCAATATGTAAATCGAATAAATCCGGCGTAACATTGGTGGATTACTAATTATAGGTTTACCGTAACTTGCTTTGTAACCTGCTTGTACGCTTCACGATTTAGATCTTCATTCAAAAACTATAATGTTAATCAAAAAGGAAAAAAAAGAAATCCTGTCGGATAAATTTACATGTATATAGTACGACATTTGTGAGAATTGATTCGCAGATTCTTACATAAACTATTTATTAATTAACGTTAATAACGAAAGTTTACTGGTAAAATCTAGATTTTTCTAATAATCCGAAAATGAACTAAAGGAAGGTAATTTCGAGTTGACAATCAAATTTAATTGGTTTTATTGGCTTAATTACAAACGCTACTTTGAAGCACAAAAGGTAAACTGTGTTGTTCATTTCCAAAAGCGGAAGAGATAGTTCGAGCAAAAAAAATAAATACATTGTATTGTTTTGTATCTGCATGCACAGCTTTTTTTTTGAACACGAGGTTGGCCTAATACATATATTCTAATCATCGGTCTAATATTTTTTGCGGACCGGTATGCGTAATGAAAAACATGCCTATTTTCATTTATTAGAAATCATCGAATAGGCTGACAAATATTTTGCTCTCATGTTCTATACAAGCTTTTTTTAAGATATATAAGTCAAAAGGAGCGGGTCAATTTTTACTGGCAAGAATTTTACTGGCAAGAAACTTTAAATAATAAATCGGTTTTTCATTTGTTACTTAATTTATTCTCTCTTACTCTATTCAATAAATTCCTTGCTTGCGTCGTCGAACATCACACACACGCGCACAAACTTAAAACCAATCAAATTAGAGAACAAATAAAAGAAAACGTCACAAGCAGGTCAGTTATTAATAGATGTCATGCAAAAAATTTATTATTATTATGAAAAATTTATAAATTCAGTTTCTGTCTTTTTTTTCAATTTCGAATCTTTCCTTCTCCTCTTCTCTTCTGTTTCCTTTTTTTGCAATTTATTTTTTTTTAATCGACTAAATCATCTACTATAATTATCTTAATACATTGTTGTCTGAATAACAGAAAGATAAAAAATGGAATCAACAACAAAACCAAACATCGTAATAGTCGGAGGTGGATATGCTGGTATACAAGTGGCCCAAAGTCTCGACAAATCCGTCTCAAAAACACATCAGATAATTCTCATCGAGAAAAAGACACATTTCTATCACTCGGTTGGTTCATTACGTGCAATGGCCGAAGAGGATTTCGAGGAGAGAATTTTGATCCCGTACAGTTCGCTATTCAAAAACGGCGGGAAAGTTGTGCATGCTACCGTCACCACAATTCACAAAGAGGAGGTGATTGTTAGCACAGAAACTGAATGGGGCACTCATATTCCATTCGAATATTTGATTGTCGCTACGGGTAGTTCGTATTCTGCACCGGCTAAAGTTGATAATACGACAAAAGAAGAAATTGTTCCGGAGATTAGAAAAAGACGTGAGGCTGTCAAAGATTCCAGCAAGATTTTAATTATTGGAGGTGGTCCAGTTGGCATTGGTAAGAATTTTTATTCTTTTTAATATTATAATTATCAGGAGTACTAACTGTACTGTATGCTAATCACAATTTTTCCAACTTTATTATAGAACTTGCTGGAGAGCTTGCTACTGTATACAAAGAAAAAACAATCACATTGGTACACTCTGGCGAAACTCTCCTTCATCCCAAATTCCCAAAGAAACTCCGAAACACTTTACATAAACAGCTCAAAGACCTAAACGTAAAGATGATATTAGGCGAAAAAGTGATACTCCCAGACGGTGGTCTCGGCGATGGTCTCACTTCCCAGAGCTTAGAGACTGATAAAGGCACTACAATCGAAAGTGACGTACAATTTTTCGCTGTCGGTGCAAAACCAAACACATCTCTTATCAAAACACTTGACGCCTCACTTTTGGAAGAGGAAACGAGCCTTATTAAAGTCGCGCCGACGCTACAATTTGAGCACGAAGAATTTAAACATTTCTTCGCAGTTGGCGATGTCACAAATGTCAATGAAACGAAAATGGCTTATCGTGCTGGACTACAAGCAGCTGTCGTCACGAAAAATGTCGAAGCTTTGATTGCGAAAAAGAAATTAGCAGCATACAAATCGCCGCCCGAACTTATGTTCGTTACAATTGGTAAAACTGGTGGTGCTGCATTATTGCCAATGTTTGGCGGCATGGTCGTTGGACCTTTCATGACAAAGAGTATCAAAGGGAAAAGTTTATTTATTGACAACAATTGGAAACTACTTACCGGTAAACCTTTTGCTGGGAAAGACGCGGCCCTTGTTAAAGAAGAGTCCACTGCTCCAGCTGAAACAACAGCTTAGTGATAGTGTGTTTGGTAAATTACTATTTCATTATATAGCGACAGGTGTAGAGTTTCATATGGACAATTTTCTACAAAAATGGGTGGTACTTTTCGGGGTTATATTTATGTAATTTAATTTAATTTAATCTAATTTAATTAACATCATTAATAAATTGGAGGTTTTCTCAAAACCTCGAGGAGCTTTTTTCGGAAAAATGGTGAATTCGCAGCTTTGATAATGATTTGTATTTTTCAAGAATGAACAATCTAATCAAAGCGTTGCAAATTAAAAATCGTGTACAAGTAATTTTTATATGCGCGCCGGTTCTGATTGACCTCCGATTAGATTAATCTTATTGGCATAAAGCAATAAAATTTTAACAAAGCGCATCATTTTTTCAAAGTCAACCCAAAAAGATCGCTTTGATCAAGACTGGAATACATATCACTGTGAAGAATGTTATCACAACAGTATAATAAAAGAAATGCAATACATATTTGAATGTGATCCTTTTGAAGAATATTTTTGCAAAAGAAGGTTCTAGAACAATAAGTAAAGCATGGTTACACTACCACGAAGGTTGGGAATCATGATAAAAAGATGGAGAACTAATGACGTTAAATTATAAATGATGTAATTATATTAGAATTTATAATCTGAAATGTAAGCAAGTTACTTTTCTAATATTAAATTTTTTTCGAAAAAGATTCTGATTGCTCTGATCTTATTATGGAAAGAAACAGGATTTGTGTTGTCATGACTTTCGCCTCAAAATATATTATTGAATTATAATGGATTTCATTGGACTTTCCGACCGACCCAGCATATATAAAAACTCTAATAAGAAATTTGCGGTGAGACAAGAGATGATAAATTTGAAAGCCAAACACTCAAGCTTTAGTTATGAATGGTTAAGTTGTTGTGTATGAAATTGCAGCAGGTGAGCATTTGATGATGAGTGAAGTCAATCATTCATACTACCAGTACAGTATGGGATCAATGGTATGTTTTTTAAAAACTCGAATTCATATCATACTTGTTTTGTTGTGTTGAAAATTAGAATTATAGACGTAATGATGCAGTTTTTAAAGATAGCTATAAAAAAATTTATCTTTAGCGTTAGGGCGCCTAAATAGGGCATAATACTTTATAAAAATCAACAATTTGACATGTTAAAAAGTAATAACAATAATTTTTTTAAAGCTGAACAGGCGTAATACTTTCATGATCGACTCTGTATCACAAATATCACAGACAGTGATATGTATTATGATTTTCAATAAATTATATGATAAAAATTTTTCCACCACTATTTTTCGTGCGGACTGTAACAGAACAGTATGGTATGGACCACAAAAACATACTGGTAGTATGTTTTTTAAGACTAGAGAATCATGTACATGTACTTAATCAATCTGTATGTAACGAATGCACCTTGTAACGAATCTAATTAAACTCGGGATATAATGAATTTGAGTTTCAGACCCATTTATAATAAAAATTTCTGGATATGGTGAATTAATTAATAAAACGATGATATAATGAATTTTTGAACAAATTTTTACTAATAGACTCGGGCCATTCTTTATACTATGTATTATCACTAGTGTTAAGCATTAATCAATTAACCCTTGAAATTGAATCCAATATGAATAAATAAAGTTAGTCTTTACTATGCATATCGTATCCCATATAGGTTCAAGT